CTAACTCCATCAGGGGTGAAAAACGACGAGAGGGTCGTACCAACCCTCCCCCGGCCGGCGCGTATGTAGAAAACCAGGTCCTGCGGTGTTAACTCTCGCCTTATTGGTGTTTTGCTAGCCGCAAACGCACAGGGCGGGGATAGGTTATGGGTTGACCTTCCAGGTCAGGTCAGTGACTCAAATGTCGGGGAAATCGGGACCTATTAAAACTTTGGAGAGTTAGGTTGTTACGAGTTTTTTTTCGGGGCGCTGATCACGAATTTCATATTAGCTTTGATCACCGATGATGTCTTGATGTTTTTAGGCCAGGTCGGGTCAGGTCAGGTCAGGTCAACCAGTAGGTGTCTTGCTAGCTGTCCATAGTAGGTGTCAATCATCACTGGCAGCTTCGTGACATGGTACGAAGGCGCCAAAATTACTTCTTTAATGTTCAAATGGGTGCTAAATTCGAAATCAGCTCCAAAAACTAGCCTAAATATAAAATAAAAAATATATGAACCCAGAAAAAGTGAACTAAGGTCATCAAAGGTCAATGACATTGACCTGACCTTCACGTGACCTTGACACCCACCATAATGCATGGGACCACCATCATTTCACATGTTTGAACGTTTATAATCACAAAAGACTGGAAACGAGCGGATAATGGCCGTTTTTACGAAGGGCTTCCTGGCGAATGTCCATCTAATTTGCACAAAAACTGCACCAACTGTGCACCTAATCTGCACAAAATGTGCACTAGATGGCCGTCGTGAAATACTCCTAAGCTGAATGTTTAAATTTTGTTCTCTTTTTCTTTTAGACTGAACTAGATTAGATTGAACAAGATTTTCATTGGTCAAGATTGTTGACGGCCCTCCTGTGAAACGAGACTCGATGAATTCTTAAACTCCCTAGTTATTTGTAACAACCCTAGGTTCGTTGCATACTAACTAGGGAGGTTGCAACGACCCTAGTTTCGTTACAACGTCCCGGAACGAGCAGTTATTTTGTAACGTCCCTAGGGTCGTTGCAAACAAACTGATCGTTCAGGGAGGTTACAACCACCCTAGGGTCGTTGCAAACTAACTGAAATCGCATACTCCCTGTAACATTCATATTGTTCAGGGATTACATGGTCCAAATGTGGCCAACTGGCTGCAGATAGGGTAATTCAAAGAGACCAGGGTTTATAATGTCCAGGGCACGATGTGTCCAGTGCTCGAAATGGCCAGGGTTCATAATGTCCAGGGCACGATGTGTCCAGTGTTCGAAATGGCCAGGGTTCATAATGTCCAGGCACGATATGTCCAGTGTTCAAAATGGCCAGTGCCTTGAATGGGCCAGAGTTCATAGTGTCCAGGGATTACATAGTCCACCCAACCCAACCAAACCTAACCTATCCCTAACCTAACCTAACCTAACCTAACCTAACCTAACCTAACCTAACCTAACCTAACCTAACCTAACCTAACCTAACCTAACCTAACCTAAGGTAATGATGTTTGCCTACCGGGGATAAGGAAATAGTTTCTCGCATGAATAGATTGCAAGCAATAGTAAATCAAATATTTTTAGGTTAAGTGGTTATGCATCAGGCTTCAGGCCTTCGGCCTGAAGCCAGATACATAACCACTTAACCTAAAAATATTTGATTTAGCACTGCACTGCTTCGCATTGAGCTGGTTCCGTGTTTTTTACATAATGACGTCACTTTCAGTGACTATGTAATCCCTGGACACTATGAGCTCTGGCCTATTCAAGGCACTGGCCATTTTGAACACTGGACACATCGTGCCCTGGACATTATGAACTCTGGCCATTTTGAACACTGGACACATCGTGCCCTGGACATTTATGAACCCTGGCCATTTCGAACACTGGACACATCGTGCCCTGGACATTATGAACCCTGGCCTCTTTGAATATACCCTAACAGTGAGCTGTTTCTTCTTTGATATACCGGTGTCCCAAAAGTAAGGTCATCATTTGTTTTGGCCACACCGCCAAAAATACGCGATGGATAGAAATAAATAGGACATCATATGAAAGAGCATTTTATAAAATTATATTATGATATACATATGAGTCAATACATTGGCTCGTAGCCCCACATTTGCTACTTTTCTACATGGCTACCATTTCGGGCCGCGTGCACGAATAGACTGCGTTTTACTTCCTCCACTATTCTGGAGCGATTCTCTGGTGAGATGCCGCTTATGTTTGCTCGGAGGGATCATCCTTTAGTTCTTCCCGGCTCGTTGGGTTGTTCTAAAAGACAACCTTTCCGTTGTGTACCCAGAGAATAAAAATATGAAGGTGTAACGTCAGGTGACCGCGGAGGCCATTCAATGGCGTTGCCCTGACTGAAAATTACGCGATCTCACATCCACTTTCGGAGACAATGCATGATCTTCAGGACGGTGCAAGCATAGTCTCCATCCTGCTGAAACCACTGCTGGTTGATGGTGTCGGCACAGCTGCGTTGCGACGAGCGGAAGAACCACTGGGAGGACTCTCGGCCACCTCTCTTGATTTATTTTCACCCGATTCCCGCTGTCGTCCTCAGCAGGGGCTCCGCCACGGTTTTGGGATTGGGGGGGTCCGACTCATAATACAAAAGCTCGCTGGCGGATCCAGGGTGTGTATTTTGGGCGAATTCACCCTCCCCATCCCCCCTGCAGCTCCCGAAGATGATGAAAAATTGCCGCTTTTTCTAGAGCTAAAAAAACTTAATAATTTTATCGGGAGAATTCTGCTTTAAACCGAAAAACCAAGGTTAAATTTGCACAAGGAATCGAAAACGGAGAAGCGGAGCCCATTGACACCGACATGGCGGCCTCTCAAATCAACGTTCTTGAGGAATGGAGGCCGCTGTTGCGCGCTCCAAGGGCGGTGCTAGCCATCAGACAACGCATTAGGCTCTCAGTGACTGGTATGGGCTGAGAATTCAAGGACCTGCACAGGCGCTCAGATATCTATGTAGGCTCTTAGGCCAGTGCCGGGTCCTCTAACGCCGTAGTTAAAGGGAAGCGCAGGGCTTTAGGAGTCGTTGAAGGGATTTGAAAGCCCTGCCCTCATACATACATATAGCAGTATGGAGTCCTTAGAGACTGACATTCAGTCTGTGATCAGAGAGTGACCTAGCTTGACATGAAAATGGATATCAAAATGCTGCAATTGAATCAAAGGTCAGGTTATGCAGGGGATCCTGTAAGAGTTGTGACTTCTAGATGCATCTCTACCGACCTGCATTCAGAGTCCTGTGCAGATATTGCAGATTACCTCAGAACGGTGTGAGGCTGCTTAGAGTAATACGGTGCTCGAAAGACCGGCTTAACCCCCCTCCCCCAACACTATCGGGTGACCTTTCATGGAAAAGGGATTCTCAGATCGATTTGAAGCTCATTTAGGGCGGGTATTGTGTCTAGGAGGTGTACTGCAAGCTGGGCCTCTCTCACGAAATTATAGCCGAATTCTGGCATGCTTAGGCCTTAGCTAATCCTATAGCAATCTTAAACGCATTCATTGTAATAACAAAATGGTAGAATAATGGCACTCCCGTACATATAGGTCGGCGAGAGTTGAGCACTTCGTGTGCCACAACACTTTAAGGGATCCCTACATTTCTAGATCTTAAATTCCTTAGCTTTGCTATTGTCAACACATTCTAAATTTTTCAACACATTCCGTGAATGATTTAGTCATTCTTATGCGAAAACATGCTTATAGTTATTCGGAATATTGGGGGGTACTGTACCCCCAGGTAAATTATTGAGGGGGTCCGGACCCCCGCGTACCCCCCTGTGGCGGAGCCCCTGGTCCTCAGGACCTCGAAGCACAGGTGGCTAAGTATACATGCCCTGTGCGTACATTATACCTTTTTTTCTGACGTTTTACCGGTTGAGGCGAAACTATGCATGAGTTCAGAGATAGGGCGAGCTGATAGGATCTGCTTAGGGCCGAAAACTGGGCGGTATTTACCCTCTGTTTTAATGACGGACCCTCTCTAAGAGTTGAATTTCGACCTTCTCAGTTTTATGCCTACTGCTCGGTGTAGTTATGATCAAAAATGGTTTAAGCATGCAAGAAAATAATTTTATGGATGTACCTTGCACGTATTAAAATTGGAAGTGATTCGGACTCTTACTTCTCGAGATATTTAAGTTTTAAATCATGACCTTACTTTTGGGACACCCGGTATTTAGCCTGACTCTGGAATAGCCACACTTGAGTGGAACGGGTCTAATTGGGACGTGAACTAAATAAATGTATAACTAAATAAAGCGGCGGTACATGCATGGGTAAATCACTGAGCAGTTTAAAATAAAAAAGGTATTTATGGTGTGCATATGATCTATAAACTTTTTGTCAGCGTGCAAGACCTTAGAGCTAGCCTCCTTTGTTTTAACATCACGGACGGCACGTATGCCACCCACATGCTGCACACTTGTTTTTATTTGGCCCAATCACTCTGAAATTTCTCAAACTCCCTGACCGGTCAGTGAGTTTGCAAACTCCCTAGTGAATTTGTAAACTCCCTAGTGAGTTTGCAAACTCACTGATGGGTCAGGGAGTTTGCAAACTCACTAGGGAGTTTGCAAACTCACGGATTTCTCAAACTCCCTGTAACATATATATTCAGCACAAATACCAAAAACTGGTTTGCCATGTCCAGCCAATAGCCATATAGTTTCACTCTCCTCTCACTTGATATGACCCCCCGCAGCGGAGACGGCCCTCTCTACACAGTACACAGGGACGGAAGGACTTGCATGTTTTGATGATGTTGGCGGTGTCCATCGCCTCCATGTCTTCCCATGTCTGATGTGCGCCTTTAGGGCCTCCAAATTGGGATGGAACATTCCCTGGACCTCCTGCAAAACGCTCCAGATGCCTTAGTCGACGGAGTTCAGCTCGGATTACTGAGGGGGCCACATCTCCTTACGCATAAACTTTGATCAATTTTCAGCAAGTAGGTACCCAAAGGCTGGTGCGCGTTTGTGGCCATATCGCGATGACAGACGGGGGTCGCGCACCCCCTCCAAGGAAGTCGCGGTGAAGTACGTTGTCCATGTGGTTGGGTGTGTGAACCGTCGACGTTGCGCCCCAGGACCACCCGGTGGCTGGACAGGTGCATCGCGGCGCACGGCAGGCCCTCCGAGCAGAACCTGTTCCCGATCGTGCAGGGCGGCCTGGACCCGCAGCTGAGGCGCGAGAGTGTCCGCCAGCTGACCGAACGCCAGGTGCCCGGCTTCGCCATCGGCGGCCTCAGGTGCGTGCACAGAGCGAGCTGCCGCTCTCGCTCCGCCGTCGCTGGTCGCGCACTCATCAGCTCCTGCTCACGCCACTGTTGGATGGGCACACCCAGTCGTTCCGAGAAATTGACAACCCTATACTCGTATAGTTACTGTCGTTGTTTGTCTATATGCTGCCGTTGTCGTTTGTCTATATATGATGCAGCGCCACGGCTGCTGTCTGTGTGCGCCGACAGTGGCGGCGAGGACAAGTCGCACTTCTGGCGGATGGTGACCATTTCGACGGACGGTCTGCCGCGCGACAAGCCGCGCTACCTGATGGGCGTGGGCGTTGCCACCGATCTGGTGGTGTGCAGTGCGCTGGGCTGTGACATGTTCGACTGCGTCTACCCAACCCGCACGGCGGTAAGACGATGCCGGCCGCAGCGGCCTACCTCTGCCTCGGACTCGTGGTCAGTGGGCGAGCCATCTATCAGAGTCCCATTGAACAATGAAGGTACAGCCCACCACTAAAGTAATGTAGGGTTTTACCAATCTCAACGGCTGGCTTTGACTGGCGATTGTTTAATGCGGAGTGATCGAAAAGAAGATGTCAATAGCTGAAGTTGCAGCTGCAAGGGTGACGATACATATAAGCTACATTCAAAGTTTCATTGTAGTCTGGCTAATCGCTCCTAAGCTTCAGAAGCAGAACATACCCGTGACTGAAACCCCACATTACTTCTGCTGTGGGACTGTACTTTTTCCAGTAACCGATATCAACCAGAACAGTGTACTTACAATAATATCAACCATAGAACACTATTGACTAGCAATAGACAAATATAGACATATATATATATATATATATATATATATATATAATATATATATATATATATATATTATATATATATATTATATATATATATATATATATTATATATATATAGATATAGATATATATATATATATATATATATATATATATATATATATATATATATATATATATATTATATATATATATATATAATATATATATATATATATATATTATATATATATATATATATATATATATATATATATATATATATATGTCATTAAACACAACAGCATGTTTGGTGTTATTCAGCTTTTTTGTTTCATTTTCGAGACATCGGACAGTACTTCTTTCCTCATCGTTCAAAGAGAAAAGTAAAACCAAAAGAAGCAATGGCTGCGATCGAGATTAAAGTTTTCGTAAATCGGTTACTCATTAGGATCTAAATTAAAGTTCGTTCATAATTCGTTCGCTGTTATATTTATCTTAGCTTTCGATCAACATTGATCATCATCAGAGAAATGAATATACACAAATGATGGCGCGCAATATATGTCACATATTAGCATTTCTTCAAACATTCCTATTTGTTTCATGGCACCACTCTTTCGAACACAAATCTACATCCAGCTAAACACACAGGTCATAACATTGTTACCGTGAATATTCACATGGGATCGTGCATAACAGCAATAAACCGTCACAATTCACAGTTGACACATCGTTTCAACTTTCACGCATTACATCATTGTCTGTCGAACAGTGGAGTGTTTGTCAGAGTTTTCATGTGTGTGTTGATGATGGGTGATGTGTCGCGGATGATGATGGTTTCAGTGATGGCCAGTCATCGTTTGTCGTTTTGTCGCGCTATTATTGTGGTGTTGTTTGTCAGTAATTCTCTCGTGAGTCGGGTTCCGTGCTGGTCATGAAGATGTGCCTTGTTGGTGACTTGGGTCCTCCGTCTTGTAAGTGCATTGTCAGTCGGCGGCTCAGTGATGTAGTTGCGTGACCAATGTAGTATACGTTGCGGGTTGCACAGTCCTCGGTAGAACACTTAAAACGGTATACTACATTGGTTTCTTGCAGTGGTGTAGTGGTCTGTTGATTGTTACGCATTATGAGTGAGGAGGTCCGTGGTGACTTGTAGTAAATTTTGAAGCGTATGCGGTGCTCAGGATTGACCGGAGTGACGTTTTTTGTGATGATGTCACGCATAGCTTTTTCATCTTTTTTCCAGGACGGTGTGAGGGTGTTTCTGTAGTATATGTCTATGTTGGTAGCTTGGTCGTTTTTGTTGTGCATCATGTTTGTCGACTTTGTCATGTACTTGTCAAGAAGGTCACGTGATACGTCGTCAAAGTCACTATTACTGTATCCATTGTTCACCAGCATCGATCTCACTCGCCGCAGCTCACTGTGGATAAGTGGCCAGGTAGAACAATGAGTCAGAGCTCGACGCACATACGACCGGATAACTCCTCGCTTGTATGAATCGGTACAGTCGCCTTTGGCATTCATGCAGCGTCCCAAGTTAGTAGCTTTGACGTGTACCTGAGTTTCAAAGCTGTCATCCTTGGCATTTATTAAACTTCACGAGGCAAATCCATGAAACATGGCTATTCCTAGCCTCAGGTCAATTACATGCAATGGTTGGCCAATGGATGTCACACATACCTACATGAACCTCATACGCGGACACATGCATCACTAGTCACAATTTGTTCACAGTCATCACAGTCGCTATTTGTTCTGTTCCAAAGTGAGCCACTTGAACACCTCTCTTTTAAAAGCAGTGGGTTGCATATCACGCATTGAAGATGGTAGTTTGTTGAATGCAGTCACAATAGAGTATAAAAACCTTCGCCTACCCGACTCAGATAAAATGCGCGGTGTCACAAGTTGATCAGAATGCCGAGTAATGCGCCGATGAATGTCGCGTCTGGTGGTAAGACTATGAGAGAGCGACTCGGGTTCCGACGTACATCGAATCTTGTTAAGAAGGGTCAGTCCGTGGTAAAGGTACATGTTCTCAGCTGAGAGCCACTCATATTGTCGTAACACATCATTGATGTGGTCATACTTCCTCCGTCCAGAGATGACTCGTGCGGCGAAGTTTAATATCTTTTGAATGCGGCCTAACTGCGTTTTGTTGGTGGACCCATAGACAATGATACAATAGCGCACAATCGACAAGACTAGACCTTCCACCAGCCGGGCCAGGGTCGACTGCGGCAGACAGTGCCGGGAGTGGCTGAGACCACACAGGATGCCGGTGCACCGGCGCACCACGTCATCGATATGGGCAGAAAACGTCAGGTTCTGGTCAAACAGTACACCCAGGTTCCGCACAGTGGGGGAACCGGCGACAATGGCACCCATGAAGTTGATACGGACGGGTGGAAGCCGCTGAATGTTATGCCTAGAGCCGATGACTATGAGCTGCGTTTTGTCTGCGTTCACTTTCAAACCATTTTTGCCAAACCAGTGAGACAGCTTGGAGAGAACACTCTCCATGATGAGCACTAGGGAGCTAATGTCGCCGGGTCCCCCCGCAACAAGAACCTGAGTGTCATCAGCGTATTGCACTATTTCAGCCTCGCCGTCGACGTAAAGAGACATGTCGTTTGCGTAAATTGAATATAAAAGCGGACCTAAGGCCGATCCCTGGTACGTGCCAACAGGGTTTGGAAGTGGTCGAGATAAGCACTGTGTTCCGTCTGACCTTTGGATGCGGACCTGTTGGTAATGGTCGCTCAGATAGCTCGTAAACCATCGCACGTCCACACCGTACAAACGCAGCTTGTTAAGAAGGCGATCATGTGGGATAACATCAAAGCATTTTGACAAGTCAAGTAGTGATAAAAGAACAACATCGCCGCGATCCATCGCACTGAACACTTTGTCGGTAACAGTAAGAAGAGCGGTGTCTGTGGAGTGATTAGTTCTGAAACCGTGCTGACATGGTGCGAACAGGTGGCGCGAGGAGAAGTAGTAAAAAAGCTGCTCATACACAACACGTTCAGTGATCTTTGCGATGGTCGGTAAGATGGAGATAGGTCGGTAATTTGAAATGTCTGTTGATTTGGCTGACTTCTGAATAGGCTGCACGAACGTCAGTTTCCATGAGCTGGGGACACAGCTAGAGACGAGGCTAGTATTGACAATGTGCGTTAAAACATGACAAAGCGAGGACAGGCACAGCTTGACGAAGCGCACACACAGACCATCAGCACCACACGCCGTGCTACTGCGCATTCTGCCTACCACCCGCCGCAGGTCGTCTGGACATATGGGGGAAACGCTAAAAGCCCCAGTACCAACACGCGGCAGGCGGGTCGGCAGCTCCGGGCCGACAGCTGTCACCTGGCGAGCGGTCCTCGGACCAACCTCCACAAAGTACCGATTAAGTGCGTCCGCATCAGCATCAGGAACGGATCCACCACTCCGCTTTGGTGCCACAACGGGCTGCACGCTTCGCCACATTGCAGCCGGTCCAGCCCGACGCACCCGCCTATCCAGCTCCTCCCGCGTGTCTCGCCGTACTGCGGACTGCACCTGGCGGTTCAGCTGCTTATAGGCGTCGCGGTGTCCGTCTCGGAGTGCCGCCCGTCTCTGAGCCATGAGCTCCTTGGTGGCGTCTGTAACAGGCGGAGCGACAGGATTCCTGACCCTGACTCGTTTCTCCGGCACCATGCTGTCCAGGATGGGCCGTGTGATGGCGAGAAAATGGACCCACTGTTGCTCGGGATCGTCGCTCGCATACACTGGAGTCCAGTCCGCCGCTGCTAACTGGTGGTTAGCCTCAGTCGCATCGAACCTGGACCAGCATCTGGTGGTGATGGTGCATTTTTGCAGCCTCAGATCGGGCACGGACATTAGCACGCGCGACCAGTTGTGAGGACTGTAATCACAGTGGACCACCCCGGCCTTCGAGACACTTTGCTGGTTGGTTACGATGACGTCGATGGTAGAGCCTGACGTCCGGAAGGTAGGACCAGCGATGTGCTGCTGCAGGGAGTAGCCACGCAGGAGCTGCTGGAACTGCTCCGTCGCTGTGCTGTTGGCGTTCATGTTGATATTGATGTCTCCGGCGATGATGATTGGGCCGCTGTGTCGTGTAAGTATGTGCTGGACCTGTTGCTCGAGCTCTGCCAGGTCAGCTGTCACACGGGTCTGAGTCTGGATCGGTGGCCGATATACTGCGCACACCATGACGCTCACTCCGCCGGCCCGAACCCGGACCCAGAGGGTCTCCAGTTTAGTACCGGCAACGGGCCGGTCGGGCGTATCCACGGTGGTCACCTCGAGTGGGGCTCTGGTCGCTATGGCCACTCCACCATAACCCCTCCCGTCGGGACGGTCGCGCCTGCTCAGCTGGTAGCCGGGTATGGGAACCAGTCTGTTGTTGGTCGCAGGTTTCATCCATGTCTCGTTCAGGATGACAAGGTCAAACCCATGATCAGCTATGTCATTTCTCAATGACAGGAGCTTCGGTTTCAGGGACTGTATGTTGAGCTGTCCGATGTATAACTGGCCAGGACGGTCGCGCACTCTCCAGCGCCGGCCACCTTTGGCCCCGCGTCGCCTGCTCCGCACCCCTCGGCAGGTGCGTCCGTCCGCATCGCCACCCGAGGTCACTGCTGGGTCACAGCGGGTCATGCCCCGGGGGCGTGTGACCTCTGCGGTCGGATCGGCAGCCAGTTGGCGGGGTCGAGCGGGTCTGACGGCGGCAGTGCGTCCGCGCAGCAGCGTGTCGGCCGTCTGGGACGCACCGCCCGGGGCGGCGGAGCACCCGGCCATGAATCAATAAGTCGAGGAATGGTAGTTTGTTACTGACGTTGAGCTCTGTGGTGAATACAAGACCTGAACGTCACGCACATCTACAAAAATATCATCGATGTAGCGGAAAAAACATAGATGGTCGCACAGCGCTATCAGACAAGACTCTGTTTTCAATGTGGCACATGAAGGCATTGGTGAACAGGACGCCCAGGGGGGGGGGGGGCATTGCCACGCCATCAATCTGGCAGTACATTTTACCGGAAGGGCACCGGAATGGGACCTCCAGGGTGCACGCACGTAGAAGGGCCTCCAATGTCTTTCTGGGTAGTTTTGGTGCGGCAAGGCTACCGGAGTACCAATGACTACATATTAGGGTACCCATTTTTGGGTCAATTTTTCAAATTTTAGGTAGGGGTGGATTTTCCCATTATTTGGTCTATTCTGATTGCATCTGTGCCAAAAATAGCGAAATCAAACGATTTCTAGGGGTCGCGAATTCAAAATGAAAATGCCAGTTTTAGCGAAAAGTCGACCAAATTAATGCTATTTTATTTTGGAACAAGGTTACCATGCCAACAGGTCGGAGTCACTTTTCCCATTATTTGGTCTATTTTGATTCCATCTGTGCCAAAAATAACGAAACCAAACGATTTCTATAGGTCACGTATTCAAAATGAAAAGGTCAATTTTAGCGGAAAATCGACCAAATTAACATTATTTATGTTGGGACAAAGTTACCATGCCAACGGTTTGGTGTCGATTTTATCATTATTTGCTCCGTTCTGGATCTAGCAGTGACAGAAATAACGATATCAGACCACTTCAAGGGATCGCGAGCTTGCATTGGAAGTTTTAATTTTACTTGGAAAAATGACTTTATATGAATGGATATAAATGCGCAAAGCCAATGTGTTGCAGTGGTATTAATGACTGTTTGACACCGTGCAACATTGCTTTAGTTGTAGGCACGGTGACTATAAATACGGTGATCTCATCTGGATTTGGTCACGTGATCATTTTCGAGCGCAGCGCACGTGCAGTTGTGGCGAGGGCACTTCCAGAAATTCTGGATCCATGCGATTTTGGAGCCAATGTAAAGTCTATGGGGAAATGGTTCATTTTTATTTGTTTTTCTTATCACACCTAAACTTTCAAGTTTTTCTCAAAGATACACCCTGATTCATGTGTAGAATTGATTGGTCTTTCATATGGTATCAATTTTAGATTTTTATCGGATAATTTCAAAAACTACTTACCATTTAAACTACAAAAAGAGGTGATTGCGGCTAAGCATTGCGACAGCCATGTCATGTCATTGGGAAATTACGATTTCTTGTGCATCTTCATTTTAACTGTTCTCGAAGCCAGTACCTACTGGATGATTCATGCGTAGAATTTGTTGAACTTTTGTCTTTTGTCACTGTTAATGCCTTTATGAAATAATTCATCAAATCATTTCGCCCCGGCCGACATGAACGCCGCTGTGAGCCGGTTTTGGCGTCGGGGAGAGAGAGAGAGAGAGAGAGAGAGAGAGAGAGAGAGAGAGAGAGAGAGAGAGGGGGGGGACGGGGACGGGGACGGGGACGGGGACGGGGACGGGGACGGGGACGGGGACGGGGACGGGGACGGGGACGGGGACGGGGACGGGGACGGGGACGGGGACGGGGACGGGGACGGGGACGGGGACGGGGACGGGGACGGGGACGGGGACGGGGACGGGGACGGGGACGGGGACGGGGACGGGGACGGGGACGGGGACGGGGACGGGGACGGGGACGGGGACGGGGACGGGGACGGGGACGGGGACGGGGACGGGGACGGGGACGGGGACGGGGACGGGGACGGGGACGGGGACGGGGACGGGGACGGGGACGGGGACGGGGACGGGGACGGGGACGGGGACGGGGACGGGGACGGGGACGGGGACGGGGACGGGGACGGGGACGGGGACGGGGACGGGGACGGGGACGGGGACGGGGACGGGGACGGGGACGGGGACGGGGACGGGGACGGGGACGGGGACGGGGACGGGGACGGGGACGGGGACGGGGACGGGGACGGGGACGGGGACGGGGACGGGGACGGGGACGGGACGGGGACGGGGACGGGGACGGGGACGGGGACGGGGACGGGGACGGGGACGGGGACGGGACGGGGACGGGGACGGAGAGAGAGAGAGAGAGAGAGAGAGAGAGAGAGAGAGAGAGAGAGAGAGAGAGAGAGAGAGAGAGAGAGAGAGAGAGAGAGAGAGAGAGAGAAGACCAGGGGCCATCGGTGAGGCGGCGTACCCGCGCGGGAGCTCCACGCCAGGTACTGGGAGCGGGCTCGCCTTTTCCTCGTAGTGACCCATCAAGGCTGGGCAGCGGCGGTACTAGTTTCGCAAGGGACAGACATGGAGCGACTCGGGACTCGTCTCAGTCCGGCCGCTACCCAGCCGCCCGCCGCGCCTGGCCGGGCTGCTGCTTCGCCGGCCGGGTGGCGCAGGCGGCCCTCCCGGCTCCCGCCCGTCTGGGATGCGCTCTCCAACCGCAGGGCGTCGGCGGCGCCCAAGAGGCACAAGAATAACGGCGGTGCTGCGGGCGGCTTGTGGGGTGACGGTGCCGCGCTCCTTCCCCGGCTCCTCGCCGTCCGTCCCCTCTCCCCGATGCCGTTTTCTTCCAGGGGAGGCGCCCCGGCCGCCGTGCCGGGGCGTAGCGCAGTCTGTGCTTTAAGTACAGCAAGATATTCACCCAGGCTAGATTAAGGTCACAACAACCTAGGATTAAGGGTGGCTACAGACTTTAGACTTAATGCAGACTTAACATGAAGGTATTATATATGCAACTTAATGACACACATGGTATTTGTTCTAACCTTCTCAACAGAAAGTGAACATGTCAGGACAGCACCCCTCGATGACCATTATACTCAAGGGGTGTAGGCACTGATATGAGTCACTAGTTGGCTCTGTGTCTTTCCTCCTGCAGGAAAAAATATATGTGTGATGCCCAATGTGAGGTAACTGCATATTATAAAGCTGGAATTATTGTACAAAGTTATGACAACACAAGCAAACTATGCATGTTACTGCTCTTGTTATTGCTATATTGATATGAGACCTCACAAGACACAAAAATATGCATGGTAAAAAAGGGAGCAACAATACATTTCAAATGTAGCTTGTCGTTAAAATGATCATGAATTTCACTACATCAAAAGTGAATGAAATTAAGTGATAATCAAAGACTGGAAAAAAAGATCAGCATAACTACATAATATGTCTTGTTTCCAAAGCTAAAGTATGATCCTCAATGTTACAAAAGTTGGTTGACTTTAACAATAACTTTGAATAAAAAAACAACATATGGTAAACAGTCACACTTCAAGGAAATCGCAAGATACATCCAACCTTTGACATGCCCTGTTTGGAATGCTGTTAACATGCTATGATCTTCACAGAATAGGTAAAATCAACTCAAAATATTACATTCTTTTATTACAAATCATATCTTCCCATGAACTTCATTATTGTGACTGCAGAGCTCATTCAGTCAATCAGAGACTGTGCAGAGACTTCATCATTCAAACAATCAGAGAATCAATGTGCAGAGACTAACACTTTAAAATCTAATGACATTTCACAAACATCTTTTATGCTACAAGCTTATGCTTACCAAACACTTTTTCATGACTCAAATATGGTGGTGTTTATTTTAAGTGAAAACATTCATCCAGCACTAAGCAGATTATTTCTAAGCTCCACAAAGTCCCAATTTCTGTTATATTTCGCTTGGAGTCACTTCATAGTTTGAACTCAAAGTGCCTTGTGGATTTACCTCAGTTATGTAGGTAAATCCACAAGGACTGATGGGCTTTACCTCAGTTATGTAGCTGCTCCCTCAATTTAAGTTTCTCGTTAAATTTCATTGAGGCGTTGCAAGATGGGCTGTAGCCAAATTCACTTCCCTGTTTGGCTGATGCTCATAATACCTGGACATTTTTAATTCCAATTTTTGTAGCTGTTAACAATTGATGAAGGCCCAAGTACCTAGACAACAATGACGTTACAGAGGAAACCCCTGGCTGTGTTTCACGGGCGCGCTGGCGCTGCCAGCGCAATCTGTGAGCTAGCGTCAACCTCTGGTAGTGTTGGAGGTATAGGCTTGTTGATGTCTCTATGGAAATCAAAAGTGGCTGGCAAGTGTCGCGAAACACCACCCTTATTTTTGCACAATAATGGTGTGATAACTGTTGCTGCAAGAAAATATAAGGTGAAGTGAAGACGTGAAGTAAAATCAGGTCAGACATTAATATATACCCAAAAATAGCAGTGTATGGAGTACCTATATTCACATTACCAATAATATGATGCACAACAGGCCATAGAAAAACAGGTGAATATGGAATTGTAACCCAATTTCAATATCAACATGGCACTTGGCATTAACAGTAAAACACAAAGTTTTTGATGTTAAATCAACAGAGAAAACTCCTGAACATAAACAAAATGATCAGAATGTATAATAAGGATAAAAGTATAAATAAAAATCGACGAATGAGCCTATCATCGCCCTCACACATTTACCACTCCCCATTCCACGCACAGATTGTTTACCCCTTGGCTTACCCCGTGTTCGCAGTCTCCCGGACCACGAAGATTCTAAACGCCGTCCGACCAATCACGTTCAAGATCAGCGGGGCTTGGCCGCGGTTCTCGAACGTCATTGGCCAGATTACGCAGAATCTTAGTCGTCAGCAAAACTTTGAACACGGGGTTATATTTTTCGCTATGGTAACAAAAGCGCCAGAATTGACTACCAGAATTGGATCCGAAGGTCAAGTGGGTCACGTGACTGTGCAGTTCAGATGGACAACACCTGGTTGTAGGTATATTCGACGTGCAGCGATAAAAGAGAGCACCAAAAATATAATTTTGGTCAATGAACAGCATAGGTATGCTCATTTACACTCACTGTGGCTTAGATAGTCATTAGTACCTACCTACACAAGACCGTTACTCTTAGAACGACTGGCTATGTAGTCGTCAGAGGGCTAAAATAAGTGATCGAAGCTTTCTCATTAGGACCATTTAGTTTTCAATGAGTCGTCTTATTCAGCAAAAGAAATGACTGAACCCCAGGACGTAAACAATGAATATTGACACAATCTGGGTGGGAGGGGCATTTAAAGCCGTTACGGATGTGATGATATAATTCGTGTGTCGTATTGTAACGGAAATATGGCATGCAGTAGATAAATAAGTTGCTAATGGCCTATTTATATCTATAACGAGATAAAAACAGCACCGAAGCTATGCCGGTATGCATGACCTATTGCCAATTCGCTGGCCGACCTCCCCTAGTCCCGGAGTTGCAGACACGGCTGAGGGAGGGGCGCAAGCTTTACACCACCGGTTCAGACGCCAGCAGTTGGGTGACTGCTAGCTGTATGAGTGTAACTTTGCCCCTCTCCCACAAACACCCACACCCACATACAGACTTTTGTTGAGACTGTTTACATAACTATTGTTGACTTGAGACGGGTGCAGATATCATGTCATGGAACTAGTGCCTGGTGATGGCCGCTGCCAGCAGCATCCTTGCAAGAAATAGTAACGGACCTTACGCTGCACTCTACATGCCCAGTCCAAACCCTCAGATGGTACTGATCTGAACTCGAATGGCATTGGCTAAAGCTGAAAATTAGGAAGGTGCCGAGAGCTAAACGACTCAGCCAACTCCGAGGCAGATCCGTTTACTGACTCCTGGCATTGCCTGGGGGCCAACACATTGGGTGGGCCATGGACCTTAGGTGGCGGACCTAGTTCTCCTCGTCTTCAGCCTCTGCACGCACACTCCTTTATATGCCGCCGCGTCCTGGTTACCACCATACGGCCCATGCAGGATGAAAATCTTCTGCTTCATTAGGTTCTTCAGATTCAGACGCCAATTACCTCAGATCACAAGTGATCTGTGCAAGGAGCTGTGAAAGGTCTTCGTCACGTATCAGCTATGCACGTATCAGCGCATGGCTAGTCGCCCGTGGTCGAAAATGCAAAGTCGTAAATGATGTGCATTGTATCGGAAACTCTTGCACTTAGCCCGCGACCGCCTGGGGGGGGGGGGTCGGATCCGACCCCCCCTCCGTTTTTCTTGAATAACTCAAGAACCGCTTACGCTATCAACTTGAAACTTGGCATACCTTCTCCCCCATCAATTTGACGTCTTCTGTGTAATTTTTAAGAAAAAATTTCCAAATTTTTTTGAGATATATCGATTTTAGTGATGTAACTACACGGCGTTTTTAGTCAAAAAGTGGTAAATGTTTAAAAAATCGCCAAAAATCAGGGTTTGAAGCAAATTGCAAATTAAGGACATGAATAGACGCAGCTCAACGAGTTCTTTAAAATGGCTATCTCGGATTTTCCTTAAAATGCGTTTTTTACCCCTAAAAATTCAAAAAACTACATTTTTTGGAAAACAGCTAATAAAATCCAAAATTTTGAGAATTTCCAAAAAACCGGAATATATGTTATAGAGCTCTATTAGAACATTAGATGTCCCAAATTTCAACTTTCTATCTTGATTTTTGACCCCCAAATTGTAAAAAAATAGCTCCAACATGCATAGGGCATGGTGACGTCATAAGCATTTTCGTGAATTAGAGGCACTTCTGAACATTGCATGTGAAAACAAATGGCACCACTAGATTCCTGGGACAAAGCTCGTCTAGAAAAGTGCATTTTTATGTCAAAAATAAAAAGTTGAAAAATTGACCTTTTTTCTCAGCCCTCGTATGGTATAAACAATTTTTTATGCCTTCAATGCACATTTATCACCAGCACAGTGACTTTGGGTCACATATAACCATTACCACCGGATTCGGCGTGAAAAATAAGCCATAAAACATGTGTCGCACGCCTATGTAGCAGAAAGTGAAAACCGTGACCTTTCGTGACCTGACCTGACCTTGACCCGTACTTAGTATGACCCCTATACGCACATGGTACCTTCACTAGGCCTTTGAGGTCATTTTTGGTGAGTTTCGAGCAGCAGCTATCGATTCCGCTGTCCGTAAGCCTAATCATGCAAAACCCCAGAATTTGACCTTTGACCTGACCTTGACCCGAAAGTTGACCTCAATCTTAAAATCTTAAGAGTGCTTTGGGAAGGTCTCGTAGAGACCTTTCGAACGCCGCCTCGCGGGGCTCGATGCGACCATTGGTTCTCGAGATAACAGGGGGGGGGTCGGATCCGACCCCCCCCCCCCAGGCTGTCGTGGGTACGGAAATAGCCCAGGCGGTGCCGGGTTAAGAACGGTGTGTACTCGTATCTGTCCCCACTGAAGAAATGGAATAGTAGGTACATGGTTGGTAGGCATGGAAAGAATCGACGCTTTGGAGTTTATGTTTTTGGATTAGAAGTTGATATTTTTGGGTAGAACACCCAGATTTATTCTACCTTGTCTCATAGGTGTATTACATCGTAGCCGTCAGCGACAGTAGCGGTGGAACACCTTCAATTAAGGGGGGCACTGCCGACTTTTGGTCCCATTCTTTCCATGCAACGCCCCTAGGGCTAATGTTAAAATGCCAAAATCAAAGGGGGTACGGTGCCCCGGTGCCCTCCCCGTTCCGCCGCCTGTGGTCAGCGATCAGGACGGCGTTTCTTGTGGAAGTATACGGTCAAAATGGTTTGATCGTTTTTTTTGAATTATACATGGTTTGAAATCCATTCGGAGCTATGATCTGTGAGATGTATCCTGACCTAATTTGCGGAAACTTTAATTGTATGGACACAAAAAGCCTGTCATAAACTGAGATGTGGCAACTGAAACGTCACATTTAAGTTTGACCTCACAGGTCATCAAAGGTCACCAATACCAAAGGTCACCGAAGGTCACATGAAGGCAGAAGATATCAAAAATGATTACACGCCGACCAGAATGATAGCAACAACAGGAGCAAAACATCACGGCGCTTTTCACCAAATGTTGCAATATCGACTTGTATTGATCGCTAGTAAAGCATTGAACGGGAACCACGTGATAGAGCACATCGATCTGGACGAAAAAGGAGCTTTCAATGACCCCTCTACCCGACTTTCGAAACAAAAAGTTTGCCTTTGGTGCGATTTACTATCAGCGTAAAATAGACATATTTCTAGATAAATACGCAAATTTCAATCTCAATTCGCGACCCCTAAACCACCTTTGATTTCAATAAACTTAAGTAAAAGACAAAACCGCGTTCTCTAAGTTCTAAAACTCTTCGTTATTTTAGTTTAATTTTTTGATCTAGTAACTGGGCTTGCCATGATCGGTAAAATGACTGATTGCGAAGCGACTTCCTCTACAGTTTGAAGCGAAGAAACTTCGGGAAGATGCCATAGGTCTTGCATGTTGTAAGAAACTTATGATCTAAGATACATTTTTCTTTTTTTCTTTTCCGTTGCAATGTAGGAGAACACATCCTTCAGACGTTTTCTTCCGTAGTCGCGGACTATCAAATCATGTAGTTTGTCCTTTGATGGTTTTAGAAATAGAATAAACTTTAGTAAAAGACATAAAACCGCGTTCTCATAGTTCTAAAACTCTTCGTTGTTTTAGTTTAATTTCTTGAT